CCTGATGCCACATTTTATATTCCTCTCAGCAAAATCATTAAAAGGTCAGAGAAAAATACATAAAAAGAAAATAAAGAGCATAGAAAGTTAAAAGGTTGAAAGTTAAAGGGGAGCAGAGTGGAGAACGTCTGAGCACTGACACGGGAGAGCTGCACTCGCAGTCTTCCCCTTTCAGCTGTCACAGGAGTTCCAGCACAGTGCTGTGCTAGAACTCCTGTGTTGGAGGTGACAGATTACATAAAGAAAACCTGTCACTTCCAAATGCTATCACACAGGGGCTTGTTAGATCCTGTGTGATAACAATACAGTTAAGTGAAAAAATCAATCATAAAATAAATATTTATAAAAAAAAGTAAAAAATTATAAATTAAAAAAAGTAAAAAATAGTAAAAAGAATAATATTTTAATATCTTTTACTTTTTCGTCAAAGGTGTTAAGATAAATAAAAAAAATCAAAATTTAAATAAAAAAAAAATTAAAACAATAAAGAAAACATTTTAAATAATGAAGACCCTGCTGTCTCTGCCATCTGATTGTCATTCTCCTTTGGGGGCGGAGCTGGGGGGAGTTCGGCATGGAGGGGGGGTGCATTGAGGAACCCGGCCTTGGGGCAGCAGGGAGAGTAAATCCAGCCCTGGTGGCAATAAAGAGAGTGGATCTTTTGTACTCCTATGCACAGCTCCAGATTGTATACAGTTTAATGAGCAAGTCTAATGCTGGATCAGCACATCTCAGTGATACAGTATTTTCCTAGGTGTGCCTCAACCTATGAATACACGTCTGCACACACCGCTTTTACAATTGCGCAACAATCCGCACACTTCATTTTAGAATGTCTTTATATACGACAAATGATCTGTGGATAGGAAAAAAAAAAGCCTTCCAATTTGTTTAGAATAAGATTTCACCATGGCTGGAGCAGGCCTAGCTGGAAAGTTATTGCACTTTAAAATTATTTTATTAGGCTTGGTGCCCATTTCGGCGATTATGCCCATGTTTGTGGAAGATTTTCATTCTTAAATAGTGATGGGGAAAGAATACACAGCATTAAAAATAAACTGCATAATGAGATCTGTGTGCTGGCTGGGCACCATCAGGAAAACCGCCTCTAGACATGTCATACATCTTATATTGCTACTGAACTTTTAACAGTTATAGTGAATTCCGGATCCCTTCATGACTGTACAGTGTCAGCTGTGTACAGAGTTCCAGTGCCCAGGGAAGCATCCTGTACACTAAAGATGGCAATACAAGTAGCAATTTTCAGTCAATTACAACCACTTTCCCTCCATTGGGAGCAATCAGACTTCCATAGGGACTGACTGGGCCAATTTGGATCCCATTGAAACCACCATTTTATGCCTACGATTGCTTTGCTATTTCAACAAAAATGAAATCAAAAGTTTGATTGCTGCTTTAAATTGTTACATGTATGGCAAGCTTTAATAGTATACATGTACCTAGGATTGTGCCTAGGTTAATTGGTGGCTGTTTTTTTTTTTGCCATTCCCCCTGCATGGCAAAACCGGAATAATGCAGACTCAGCGTCAATGAGCTCTCTATGTCTCTCCTCTTCTGTTCCTTTCTCTCTCCACTCTCTCTATGTCTCCCCTCATCTGTCCCTTTCCCTCTCCGTCCCTCTCTCTCTGTGTCTCTCCCCTTCTTTCTACCTCCCTCTCTCTCCCCGTGTCTCCCCCCCTCTCTCTCCTCGCTCCGTGTCTCTCCCCTTCTCTCCCCACCACTTATGTCTCTCCCTTCTCTTTCCCTCCCTCTCTGTCCCCCCTCCCCTTCTGTCCCTTTCTCTCCCCCTCCCACTCTATGTCTACCCCCTTCTCTCTCCCTCACTTTCTCTTTTCTCCCTCTATGTCTCTCCTCTTCTGTTCCTTTCTCTCTCTCACCTCCTCTCTATGTCTCTCCTCTTCTGTCTCTTTTTCTCTCCATCCCTCTCTCTCTCTCCCCCTCTCTCCATGTCTCTCCTCTTCTGTCCTTTTTTCTTTCCCTCCTTCTCTCTCTCTCTCTATGTCTCTTCTGTTACTTTCTCTCTCCCCCCTTTCTCTATGTCTCACCTTTTCCGTCCCTTTCTCTCTCCCTCCTTCTCTCTCTCTCTCTCTCTCCCCCCTCTATGTCCTCTTCCCATGTGTCCCTTTCTCTCTCCCTCCCTCTCTCTCTCCCCCCTCCTCCCTATATCTCTCCCCTTCTGTCCCTTTCTCAGTCTCTTGCGCTCTATGAAAGTGTCACTCTTTTTTCACTTATCTCTGTTAGTCTGCATTAACACCTACGGTAGGTGTCAGCGTTTCAATTAATGGTTACGCCTTTTTTGGCGCATTTTTGTGCTTTTTTTTATGCAATTGACACGTGTTAATGTGTTTTTTTTATAGGACCAAACGCACTGTAATCTGCCAAAAATAAGCCCAAGTACTTTTTCCAGCATTCAGCGTTTCACAGCTTTCAGGGGCCAATGAAATCAATGGGATTTCTTGTGTTGAGCGTTTTGGCGCGCTTAGCTTTGAGCGACAAAACACCTAGGTGTGAACGGGGACTCTCTCTCCCTCTCTCCCTCATTCTTTCTCTGTCTCCTATCTCACCTCTGCACTCTCTCCCCTGTTCTCTCTCTTTCCCATCATCTGCCTCTCGCTCTCTATGAACAGTGTGATAATTCTGCACAATTCAGGAATAGACCATGGAGTAATTGGATATTAAACAGGCAGCTACTGTACCTTATTAATAGTCTGACGTAAATCTTTCAGCCCAGGACACATTGGCTTGTTTGTTTACTGTTTGTACGAGGGAGACCCTGCCAATTTCTAAGGGGGTAAAAGTAACCCTCAAACGACAATTTGGCCAAAAATGTTATATGCTACTTGGAACTGTTTACCAAACTCCAGTACCATGTTCACACCAGTTAGTATCAGAGCCAGCTGTGTCTTTAAACACACCAGTGACCTGCATTGGGTATAATAAGTGCTTTAATGTTTGCTGAGCGCTGACAATGTGTCATAAAATTGGAGAGCTTGTGGGTCACATGACTTCCTCAGGATTATCTGTAAACTTCAAGCAAAACATTCAAATCGAGAAAACGAAGCATTTCCAGGCCCAACCGTGCACCCTGACCGGGTCTACATAAAACCCAATAAAAATCTGATGTGTGTTGGCCTGTGGTTTTCCGCTGAACGTCATTTCCACCCTTAGATCATGACACTGCCCCTTCACACACGGTCCTGTCCACACGTAAACAGAATACAGGTCAATGCCTCATGCTGACCTACCCTGCGCTGCTGTGAACATCCACGACTTCCTTCCATAGCGTTTAAATGTCACTTCTGTATTTGTATTACAGCGTAACATCCAATGTTTGTGTCTGTTGCCATCCATGATACAAATAGCACTAACTCAGCAAATGACCACCCATGCCATCACAGTACACAACAGAAATAGATGAGACGTGCACACATGCTGTTTATTTAAAGCGTTTGCTTTTCCTGTCCTGTAGGCTTGGAGCTGGCTGCTTCACCTGGCCCGTAAAGCCCTTCATCCAGTACAAACGGGTAATCTGGATTCAGGGTCATCCATATCTGGAAGAACATATACTTTGACTTTATAGGAACGGGAGTTCTGACTGGCTGTTCTGACCTGCTGACAGCCAGGCGACAAGAGGGCCAGAAATGTCAGCTTACATATTGCAACAGCACAACTGCCCAGAAGGCCAGAGCTGGACATTGACCTCACAGTACTACACAGGCAGGTACTAGGAGGTCCATATAAACAGGTCCAATTAACTGACATCTCAAGAAATGCAAGAAGACGGCCAGTGATTCAGAGCCAGCAACCATCCCACAGGTGCTCGATTGGATCGAGACCAGGAAAATTTGGAGGCCAAGTCGACACCACAAGCTCATTGCTGTGTTCCTCAAACCATTCTGGAACCATTTTTGCAGTGGGGCAGGGTGCATTATCCTGCTAAAAGAGGTCACTGCCATCAGGGAATACCGTTTCCAAGGTGTGTACTTTTTTAGCAACAATGTTTAGGTAGATGAGAAGTGTCAAAGTAACATCCACATAAATTGCAGGACCCAAGATTTGCCAGCAAAACATTACCCAAAGCATCACACTGCCGACACCGGTTTGCCTTCTTCCCATAGTGCATCCAAGTGCTATCTCTTCCCCAGGTAACGCACACGCACTCAGCCATCCGCGTAATGTGAAAGAAAGCGTGATTTATCAGACCAGACCAACTTCTTCCATTGCTCTGCAGTCCATTTTTGATGCTCACATGCCCATTGTAGGTGCTTTTGGCAGTGGACACGGGTCAGCATGGGCACCCTAACTGGCCTGCTGCCACGTAGCCCCATATGCAACAAACTGCAATGCATTTTGTGTTCGGACACCTTTCTATTGGAACCAGCATGAACTTTTTTATCACTGTGAGCTACAGCAGCTCTTCTATTGGATCAGACTACGCAGACCAGCCTTCGCTCCCCCCGTGCATCAATGACCCTTGGCTGCCCATGACCCTGTCTCCGGTACACCGGTTTTCCTTCATTGGATCACTTTTGGTAGGTCCCGGCCATTGCAGACTGCTGGGAACATTCCACAAGAAGTGCAGTTTGAGTTGCTTTGACCCAGTCATCACAATTTGGCCCTTGTGAAAGTTGCTCAAATCCTTACACTTGCCCATTTGTTCTGCTTCCAACACATCAACTTAAGGGAAAAAATGTTGACTTGCTGCCTAATATATCCCACCCACTTCTAGATGCCATTGTAACAAGATAATCAATGTTATTCACTTCACCTCTCAGTGGTCATAATGTTATAGAGAGAGCGTGAGAGCAAGAGAGCGCGCAAGAGCGAGAGAGCGCACGAGAGAGCGCGCAAGAGCGAGAAAAGAAAGAAAGAAAAAGAATGAGACATAGAGATGGGAGAGCAAAAGAGAAGGAGGGAGAGATGGGGTAAGGATAGTGTAGGTAGCGGTGGACCTGACAGCGCTTGACATAGTGTGACTGAGGATCTCTGGTCCTGTGCACCCCCAATCCAGCTCCACTGCATGCCCCATCCTCGAACCCTGCAGCATTGCTAATTGACTCTGGACCTCTGTTCACTGACATGTACCCAGGACTCCTTCTCCTCCTCCTTGCCCTGATGGGTGCTGGCTGCCAGGGGAAGCTGGTAAGTTTAACTGCTAATTTCCCAGGAGCTTGTTAGCAAAAGTGACTTGTTAGCAAAAGTGGACAGGGGACTCTATTCTGCAGATCAAGCATGTAACTCTTGTTGGAAGTTTATATTTAACCCTTGCTTACTAAGTAGTATCACCAAGTCACTAGGGTTGAGTAGCTTGCCCTTGTCTGTGGAGCTTGCAATCAAGGGTATACTATAACTAGTTCTGACAGCCCATGCATCTGCTAGGGGGGAGGGAAGAAGCTTAATGAATGCAGCTCTAATGTTTGGTGGATACATTTGGGTAAAACAAATGATATCTAGTTTGAGGACCTGTACAGAACTGCAATGAAAGGAATTAATATTTGGTATGCTTAGATGAATTGCCATTGAGAAGAAAACTGAAAAAGACAAGGGGTCCCGTAATAATGTTACAATGGGACCCCATCACATAGTTACGGCTAGGTCTTAGCAATTTGTTGGCTAAGATTCTGACATTTCGCTTTGACTGGCCATTAAAATTAGTGGAAGCTGGCTACTATAAGTTACAGCACTTTTTTGTGCTTGTGGTAATGTCTTATGAGGTGTTCAGTATGGAATTCGAGAAAAGATAATAGAATGACATTGGTGATGCTGTGAAAAGTACCGTAGCCCATGGCAATCAGAACCAGTTCCTTCTTTGACACCTGGTTGCTATGAGAAACTGCACATTGCATGCCATCATTGCCCATCATCATTGGTGGTGATAAGCTGGTCTATTCTGGAGTAGTTGACCTCCCCAGTCTATTGCCACCCACGTGTCTGGCTGCAGATAAAACAAAACGTTTCCTTCTAAAACGCCATTAGATGTTTCCGCTACTGTTCCATTTTAATCAATGAATGTGCTTGTGATGAGATCAAAGTCTGGTTGTTAGCTGCTCTGATTGGCCCAGAGATGGCAGGGGACTTGTAAGAAGGATTGGGGGAGGGTCAAACATTTTCACCAGTTGACCCTCTGTGGCCAGCTGGCATAGTCATAGCATCCTGTTTTTGTCTGGCTGTTTTGCACTTTTGTGACCTATGGAGACCAGAGACCCAAGAGGGCTTGCTGGCTCTTTAGTCCCACTTGCTTTTGTGGCAATAAACGTCTAATGCTGCCAAAATGTCCACATTTTAAAATGCCAGAATGTCCACATTTTAAAATGCCAGAATCTGGTATCTGGTCATGTGACTGGCAGGAGGACCACAGTTCAGGCACGGCCGCTGATTAGCCACCTGCATGGCAGTCTCTGTATCCCTGTCTGCAGACCACGTGAGTTTATTTACTAAAGCTAGGGGGGAAGTGTAGCGTCCTCTTTCAGCCAATCAGGATTCATCTCCAGGGGAACAGTGCTGAATAACTATTCTGCTCTGCACACAGCCATTCTCTTGATCAACTAAGTCGGCCTGATGGTGTAACCTTGATGGAAAATTTGGCAGAAGATGAGTAGAGGCTGGCAGACAATTCAAAGAAGTCTAGTCTCACAACTGCAAAACCACCCGTTAATTGAGCGTGTAGCTGGAAATGCTCTTCTAGGACACTTTTAAAGTAAACCCATTAAAGAAAATCTGGGCAGCCATTGCTGACCTACTGATTATGCTAGTTGTCTGGCCATTATGGTAATCAAGGTTCAAGAACTCAGAAGTTATTTTCTCCATACTTGTTCTGGTCAGGTTTTTAAGCCAAGAACATAAAAATGACAGTTGGGTAAGTAGAATTTTCCATGGCAGGCTCCAGGTTTTTCTAAAGCATTCCTTTAAGTAGTGTAATGTATGTAGCCAATGGTCTGTGTTAGACGCTTGTGGTATAGCATTATAGCTGAGATTTTTTTTAAATTTCTTTTGTTATAGCTCAAAGCAAGCAACCAAATTCTTGTGGTGTCTATATAGGAGCCAACTGTTCTTTTGTTTTTTGCTTAGCTGTAATGTTTAATTCAACGACACTCAGCACTTCAACGTCAAGGAAAGCTCCAGCAGAAAAACCAACGAGCTGTCACGGAAGGGCCACTGGAAAGAGTTGAGATTCTCTGCAACTCAGACATGCAACAATGCCCTTGAGCTACTGTTTTGTAGACACTAATTATGTTGCACCTTAGGAATGCACACTGCTTGCTCTATTCTTGTTTCCTTTTTATCATTTTTATGTTTTTAAGGAACTTAAGTAGTTTGGAGTAGAGTAAGTGGGGACTGTTGAGAACCTTGGTTAGGTTTTTAATGCTGTCTCATTAAGTTTTCAACTAACTTTGTGACATTGTCACTAGTATAGGAAGTGAGCAGATCTCCTCAAAGGGGCCGCAGAGCATAGCTCATCAAAAGGGCCACAGAGCAGTAGATGTTATATACCTCTTCTCTTCTCAAACTAAAAGATATGGCTGGAGACATGTTTAAGCAATAGAATCCTCTACGAAGGGATGTCTTCCTATCCCTAGGTCAGTATGAATGCCAAATACAGCCAGGTCATTCAATAAAAGCTATCACAATACAGGGAAAGGTGACTTTCGATAGACATTCAGGCTGTGCCTTTAAGTGTTGCTGGAAGTGTGTAAACACTGTGTGCCGCTCTCGCACTTCTAGGCTCCGGCTGTTTGTTCGGTGTCCCTCTTGCATGCCAGGATCGCATTTCAAGGCTTTGGGGTTTGCTTCCTTCTAGATTTTATATATCTCGGCTCAGGAGTGAGCCACATCCGATATGCAGACTCCACATTCTGTCTTGAGATGACTAAAATGGGAGTCTGGTGGTTCTGCCCAACTTGGAGCTCAGAAACGTTTCTGCTTAGTGCTTATCTTCCACTGTTGCGTGCTCATGTTGCTGCAAACTGGCACACTTCCCTCTTCGGCACTATCACTGGGTGTCTATTTTTGCTGTGATAATATGATATGGCAGAGCTTCTAATTGCTGGCGTCGCCAACCAAGATGCCAGCTGAAGCACATGTGTAGTTTTTCCCCACAAAGACTTCTCCAGTCTCTCATATAAGGGTGACACTACCTTTCAAAACCTGCTGTGGTGGCAACTTCTACCACTGCTTCACCTCCTGCTTAATCTTTTGTTTATTGGCAAACATCACTGCATTGGTGAAGCCTAACCTGAGCACTCTGGCTCCTGTAAGCCCACTTAAGTACTTCCTTCCCACCCAGGCACTGCCAGTGCAATTTCCATTTCAGCTTAAACTAAAAGACCTTTCAGGAATTTATGCTAGTGAGACTGGAAATTTGGCATGACTAATAAAGGAATATTTAGGTGGATTGAAGCAAGTTTAATACATTTGCTTGCAGCTTTTCTTTAATTCCTAACATTTCATAACTTTTCAGGGGTGTTCTATGAGCGACACTGTGACCTTATGTACTCTATTCCGGCATTGCTTGGCTCTTGTCCAGGAGTCTTCTACTCATGGTATTGGGTGTCACTCTGCATTTGCTGTGGAAGTTCAGAACTGCAACTGCTTCGATAATAACCATTTTATCAGATATTACTAATCCTCACAAGCTTCTTGAACTTCTGGTGTTCTTTAATAATCCAAAAAAATTTAATCTGACTTCTTCCCGATTTTTTTTTTTTTTCACACCCAGGAGCCCTAACTGTCTTCATGTCGCTGTTTAAACACATGCAACTTGCCTTTGTCTTGGCTTGTACTGCAGAATGATAGGTTTTCTAGTCCTTCTCTTTTTTTGAAAATTTTGATTAGTAGGTGTTGACTTCTGATGCCTGGCAGATTATAATGAGTTTGAGCTATCGAAGGTGTTCTTGAGCATTGACTGGACATTCTGTGTTATGACTTGGATAACACAAACTGTTCCTTAATGGCATTTATCTTCTGAAGCTGTCTGTCCCATTTATTCCCTGTATATGTAGTTTTTGGAAGATCTGGAGAAAATGCAGGCAAGTGGGTTCCTGGTTCTGGCACTGCCTGCTAAAGTCATTGAAGAGGAAAGATGGACTGCTGAAAAAATGGCAAAAAGCTGTAGTATACCCTGTAGCATTGAAAAACTGTCTAATACCTGGCTGTCAAGGATTATCCAGCTGAGACTTTAAAAAGTGGATTCTGACATTGCATAATTGCAGCGTTTCCAGGGTAGCCTTTGATTTAATTTTTTAAATTGCTAGTCATGTTCTAGCATTTTGTAAACCTGTTTCTGCATTCATCATTTCACCTAATGGAAGAAACCTAAAAGGGATTCAGTGAAAGTTTGTGGAGCATTATCACCTCAAAGTATAGATGTGATGAGTTTAAAGGTTGAAGGCTCCTTCAGTTTTTAGCTTAATTTCCAGAACTCCTCAGGAGCCCCTAACTGCAAACTCCAATCAGAATATGGGTGGTTAGTTTCTGCATCCATTCCCACCTCATACTTTCATTTGGCCAGTAAATTTGATGGGCAGCCTTACTGACCAGCAGTGGGGCACTTGGAGCAGGCCAGATCACAACATTTATGGGCCACTCTATAATCCAGAGGCTAGTCTGCATTCTTTGAAGTTAACCAAGGTTTGCTTTAGACAGCTGCAAATTGCTACTAAAAAGGAACACATGCACCTGTTGCAGTTAATTAATTCCTATACTTTGGCAAAATTCAACACTTTCTATGCAACTGATGGCAGTTTTTACTGGTGTTTAAAAGTAAACATGTGACAGGTTCCCTTTGAAATGTTACAAATGTTTAGGGCCTGTAGTGGGAAATGAGCCCTTAGACAAAATGTTGCTTAGAGATGAAAGCTTGCAACTGGCACACTGCAGTTCCATGCGATTGGTGGCTCCTTTCAGCCACATTTTTGTTTCTGAATCTTGTGGCCATCGGAAGTGATCTGTAACCTTCACAGCAGGAGCTACTGCAGCACAGTTGGATAACATAACCTGACTTTATGAAAATTTACTGGAGGTTTCAATCCTGGCAGTCCTGAGCATTCCACGGAAAAGATTCCATACCTGTGTGTTTATATATAACTCTGGCATTTTCTGGAAACCACACGGTGTTCTATTTTTAAATGAATAGAACCATGTGGTTTAAGAAAATATATTTTCCTCAACGTCCTTGCGTTGTAACTTTTTTCCAGGCGTGAACTGGTTATCACAACATGCCGAGTGAAATGGGGCTCTGTTCCTTTTGAGTTCAGTCTGTGCCCTGTCCAATTTGTGCAAGCGCTGCCAGATGGAGGCGGGTAATGCCATGAGTCATCAGGTCACATGGTCATTGTTTATGCCAGTACTTGGCGGCACGTCCAGGAATTATCTGTAATTCGGAGATTAATGTGTAAGGCTTTTATAGTTTACAAATGTCACTTTAGACTGACTTTGTGGCATCCACAAGCGGCAGTAATTTGTTGGAATATGTGTTGGCTTTAGGATGCATTTCCTCGTTAGCTGCTTAAAGAACTCCAACCCAATATAAATCAAATTCCATGTTTAATATTGGATTGTCATGTTGAAGTAGCTCTGTACTTTTTCAGGAAAGGGACCCTGAGTGAGATTCAGGTGCTGTCTTTGTGGACACTTGGCTGTTGCATTATGCCATGTTCATGGGCCTTGACATAGTAGCTATTCATCTTTTACTATAACTGTATCAGACTCTTGTAACCATTTTTGCTCTCCATCTTTTTGACTTGTCATGCACTGGCATGACAAGGTTTTTTTGTAGTTTTTTTTTTAAATTGGAGGAGATGAGTTGTAATATGAGAAAATATGGCTGTTGCTATGTCCACCTTTTAAGAGCATGTGTAACACTCACTGGTATTTATCAATTCTCAAACAAGTTAAAAATGTATGTGATTACTGAAGGCATGAGCTGTTGGATCATAATTGGTTCTGTTCTTCCAGGTGAAATCCTGCCCAGCAAACTGTGTGTGTCCCAAAGAAGCACTATCCTGTGCCCCTGGTATCAGCCTTGTGACAGACTCCTGTGGCTGCTGTAAAGTTTGTGCCCGCCAGTACAACCAGGACTGCGATCTGAGACACCCATGTGACCACATCAAGGGGCTACACTGTGATTTTGGCGCTGACCCCTCCTCTACTGCAGGGATTTGCAGAGGTAAACACTATGGCGTATCCCTCTTTCAAAGCAAATCATATGTTGGTTGCAAAATGTCTGTTCTCTGACCAGTTTTCCTTCTGTATGCAAAATTCCCATCTCTTTCACACCAGCTGGGATTTCAAAATGGGCCCACAGTAAAAGCTTAAACTGGCTTTCAAGATGGCATCTGTCATCCCCTGCACAGCAGTTCTCAGACTGTGAGAGAGTAGCAGCACTAGGACCCAATCAGGTGCAGTTGCATGAACATGTGCTGACAGGAGGAGAGGAAGGTGCCGAGATGCCATATCCATGTGTTGCTGCTCCTTTATTGAACAATTGGCAGCTTTGGGTTGAGGAGTTAACACCACTATTCTTTTGATCTAACAAAGAAAGTGGTATAACTCTCCTGTCTGGTATATAAAATCACAAAAGTGGCTGGATAGAATTACAAATCCTTCAGGAGATAGGGTAGTTTACATTCATGTATTTTCTCAAAGTTTTGCTTTAATTGGAAATTGCCTACCTTCTAACATGGCACGCAATATCTGACCAGATAATGTACAAATCCAATCTTGTAGATGTTTGTTCTTGGTAAAAATTGGGAATAGCACTCCATGTACAGACCAAACGGAGGGGAATAATTAAGCTTAATTACTTCGGCATGGTCAGTGATCCAGATCCGGGTGTAATTACATTTAGACTCGCACCTCTCTCCTACCTATCACAAGTCATTAGTTAAAGATGAGCTGGATATATCCGTTGGGCAAAGGCTTGCACTTGGCGCCACTTCTAACATTGGCAGAGGGTTTTATAAGAGATATAATTCAAGTCAATACTGCACCTGGCGAGATGTTATAGAAACCATCTACATGTCTGGAGATTATTCATCCTGGAACAGTAAACATGATGAACGTAATTGCCCAAGACTTTTATGACTCTACATTTTTGGCATGATCATGTAATTTTATTTAGTCTCTTGCAAGCAGGGAGCGGAGATCTGACAGAATACATGTTGGTGTAGTATATTTACAAGGTGTAGTTGTTGTTGTAGTGTATTGCACAAGCCAACTTTTCTAACTTTAAAAAAACAGGTTTGCGTTTAGGGTAAAGGCCCCCAGTGTAGATACTACAGTGAAATACTTGCCTTTTGCCCTGCATGCCTAGTACCATACAGCCTTCAATGTAAATAGTCCTAGTGAGGATGTATGCCCTACTGCACATGCTTAGCGTTCACCTGGTTTATGTCTGTGGATGGCTGTGTCTATAGGAATGAATGGGTCGTGTAGTGTGCGGCAGACTCCGGCCAGGACTGTTTATAAGCGAAGGCTGTATTTTACAATGTGGCTGCACTAAAGGGGAGAGGGGTCTGCGGTAGGGAGCAGTGTTTGCTTGAGCTATTGAGGTTGGGAAGTCATTTATTTTTACTTAAAGCATATCTAAAAAGGCAAACTTTTTTTTATGTGATTTCTGTTTACATCCTGTAGAGTTAGCAGAAAGTGAGAGGAGTTTTTCCCATTAGTTGGAAATCTCCTTTTAGACAGTTCTCTATTGCTCTATTCTGTTATGGTGAATCTCAGATTTTGGGATTGAACTTTCCTTTCCTTCCTGGAGACTAAATTTGCTCAATGGGAACATAAGGCAGGAAAAAAAACCTAAGGGTATCTCTATACCCCATTTACTGTATCCAAATCTGAAAGTGTTGCCTTTGGTAATACTTTAAGGCTAGCCTCCTAAAACATGGGCTATATCTAGAGCTCCACTTGCTAGGAAATTCTTCATCCAGCCTGCACAATATTGTTGCATTTATGAAATTAACATTGGATATGCTTGGCATTTCTGTATTTACAAAAGTGTTTTTCTTTTTTACCTTCCTTCCAGCAAAGTTTGAAGGTCGACCCTGTGAATTTTTTGGCCAGATCTACCAAAATGGGGAGAACTTCCAGCCCAACTGCAAGCACCAGTGCACCTGCATGGATGGAGTGGTCGGCTGCATGCCTCTGTGCCCTCAAGAAATGGCCCTGCCTAGCGTGGACTGCATCAATCCCAGGCTAGTGAAGGTCCCTGGCCAGTGCTGTGAGGAGTGGATGTGCGACAGCAACCACATCTCAGAAGACTCTGGAGACACCACCAATGGAGACGTAGAAGACTCCTTGAAGTCATCTGAAGAGATGGTAGAACAAGAAGACGTTGAGCCAGTCTCTAGCAACGAGCTCATAAGTTTGGTCCGCAATGGGTTTAAGGTTGACCCAGGTAAACAATCTAGAAGGATAAATGAATGTTGTGCAATTTTAATGGGGGAAGGAGTGGAGCGGGGTATTGCTACTTTTTTTTCTTCCATGTTGCAGGTCTGGGCCCCCACCCACAACCTGATCGTTCTAGATGTGCTATTCAGACCACAGAATGGTCACAGTGCTCCAAGTCCTGTGGCATGGGAATGTCTACCAGGATAACCAATGATAACCCACAATGCAAACTAATGAAGGAAACGCGTCTGTGCCAAATTCGCCCCTGTAAGGACCCCTTGCCAACAAAACCTAAGGTACAGTATTTCTTGTATAATTGTTGGAAAGCATTGCTGCTCAGTTAAGATTTGAAAATGAAACAGATAAGCTGATTGGTTGCCATGCACAGCTGCTCCAGATTTTGTTTGCTCCAGCTTTGATAAATTCCCCTCAGTATGTTTAACCTAATCCAAGAAGACAAATTAATACAAATGGGATCCTAAACCTGCAGTTTGTGCTCAATGCTGGGTTTACAGCCCTCTAGGGAGAGTCTACAGGGGAAGTGTTTATATACACCTATTTCCGATCTATTTCTGTATGATCCAACTAGGGATGCACCGATACTAGTATCGATATCGGTGCCGATTTTGAGTATTTGGGCGAGTACTCGTAATCGCCCAAATGCTCCGATGCCTAGCACGTGCGCGGCTGGCCGGTCCAGACGGCTCCTGCTGGGTACCGGAGGAAGGCCGCGTTCTCGCTGGAGAGGCCCCGGGTGTGACAGGCTGGACATACTAAGGTAAGAGGGGACTTTCTTGTTAATCAGGAATCCAGGTGGTGAGTCATTACATGCCACCTGGCTTCCTGAATGGGACTTCCGTTACTCGGGAATTGGTATCGGCAAGTACCGTAAAAAAAAATTCTCGGTACCAAAATACCGGTATCGGTGCATTTCTAGATCCCAAAAGGCATTTAATCCCAAAGTGAGGGTGGAGAAAACTTGGCCACATTCTGCTTATCCAGGTGCTCAAACTTTCTCCCTTAATCACAACGGACAGAATTTCTGCTCGTCAATAAATTGAGGCGAGAACAGTGTACAAGTCTGTGTGTGATTCCCACCAGGGATTTGAACCTAAAGTAAGGGTGGAAACCACTTGGCCACCAAGCTGCTTGTCCAGCTGCTAGTTTCCTCCCAGAGTCACAATGGCTGATGTATAACTATATTGGAATACATTTTTCATGTTTGATCGTAGATTTGCCACTAATTTATGATTGGGTATCTTTTTCTTCAACCAGAATGGCAAGAAATGTACCAGAATAAAGAAGGCCAAACAAGCTGTGCACTTCACCTATGCCGGCTGCACCAGTGTACGACGGTACAAGCCACAGTATTGTGGTTCTTGCTCAGATGGACGGTGCTGCACCCCCTCTAAGACCCGAACAATGCGTGTCCGCTTCCGCTGCGATGATGGGGATACCTTCCAAAAAAGCATGATGTGGGTGGAAAAGTGTCGGTGTCATCAAAACTGCCCCTATCACAGTGAGCTGTCTTACCCCCATTATCGGTTACACAACGACATCCACAAGTTCACGGACTGAGTGGGGGACATGTTTCCTTTGGACTTACGGGGCAGTGGCCATGAACCATGGCTCCCCAACTTTCAAGCCGTTTCCAACTTACAGGGCCCGATCACCAAGAACTTGGTGGTGAAGCAGGAATGGTGCATCTACACCCAACATGGTCTAGAGACCTGTGACTTTCCATTCACCTACTTATAAGCTCACCAGTGTGGAATCGTGGGATGCATGCCCCTCAGCTTAGCCTTGGTAGCAAGGTTGCAATGCTAACTTATTCCAACATGGGTAAACAAAACACAGCCCTTTAGCTGTTAAAAGCTGTATATCTAGAGCTAATTTTCAGTCTGGGGTTAGTGCACATGATGTACAATTACAAGAAAATTCAGTGTACTTTTGCTGTACGATTGTTAGACTGGCATTGCAAAAGAATGAGCTGGAGCTGTCCCACCAAGTCAGGGCTGGTTTGACCGGTCATTGTTTCCTGGAGTTGTGTGGTGATCAATGGAGACTATAAAGATAGCACTACTTGTCAAATTACCTTTTTAGAGTAGCTTGTTATGTTTGAATCTACTCAAAAGTCCCAATGACTAAGGCTCTAATAGAGTACCTTTTAAAAAAGTTGATATCGGCATAGATTAGCAGAATAGTGGAGCTAATAGAGTCACTGGTAGACTTCATGATATTCTGAGGCCAGGACTAGTGGTGAATACCCAACCACCACCTTAAAAATTTAACTTTTAAATAATGGATCAGAGGCTCTTTGCCTTCCAAAGAGAAAGCCCTAAAATTGACTATAACAGGTTGTATATGATAACCTAACGAACTTCCGCTGTAGAAAGAAACATCTTGAAGAAACTTTGAAACTGAAAGACTATAGCTGACGTACTGTCTAGCTAGCTCGATTAAACGCTCGTACAGCGATGTAATAGTAGGTCCAATTACTTAGACTAGAAGAGATCGTGATTAAGGGTTAAAAGCTCCATGCATCAGATACAAGTTGTTACAGTTCCAAGTAACTTCATTTTCTTAGGAAAACTATTATGGTGGACAACCTTGTCTTGGCCGACACAATGGGCTGCAAAATTGACAGCTAGTTGGCACTTAAAACTGAGCTGTGATTGGTGGAAGTGGCCACACCTATTGCCCTGTTTATAGTCGTCAGAATCTTTCAGGTTTTTTTTTTTTGCAGTAAATAAGGGAATTTAAGACTTGCTTTTTGTTTTCTTGCAAAAGCACTTTAAAGCATACATTTCTGCATTCTAGACCCTTTAGATGATCAATTATCCCTCTGATCTCAGCAGTAGTTGTCAATCACAAGGCAGTGCCTTGCTGTAACTTAAGCCGATCTCTGCTCCCCAGCAAGGAAGTGACCACAGGATCTTTAGTAATCACGATCTGTCAAAATTATGGGTAACTATTGCATAATACTGAATAATGCACAATTGTGGCAGAAAAAAACACCTAGTGATCTGCCTAATAAATGAAGAATCTTGAATTCTTGAGTGTAAAACCAATTAGAATTTACTTTCCTGAAGTTGGACCAGTACTTAAGAATTAGAATTGAAATGGAGGGGATGCGGAGCAGTAAAGAGACAACAAAATGTGTTCTTATAAAAGCAAACCATCCTAAAAACATGTTTTGTCATTGGATTGATGTTCTAAAACCGCTTTTCTACCTTGCTGAAGCTTATCAGGTGATCCTAGGCCACTTTGAAAAATACAACCATTTAATCCTTTGTTAACCTGTCACAGATGCCAGGACATTTTCTGAAGTAGTGTCGGAGAAGGCAGCTTATTCATTTAAGCAAACAGATCTAGTTCTTAAAGAGAAGCAAAAGTGGAATTATTGCCTATTGTGACTACCTTAAAAGCTTACCAGAAGAAAGCTGAAACCTGATCGTCATTTGGACGACAGTTCTACTCTTGTTCCATGTTCTCTGCTCCAGTTTCTTAAAAATGGCACATGTGACAAGTTTAAGGGTAACCGATGGCTTCTAGGAATTGTAGGCCCTCCTTTTTAAATTGACTTCCTCTGTTTTGAAAGGTCACAGTGATTATAGTCGGAGCACTTTTATGAGGGGTCTTCTGTATTTTGGGGCGGATATCTTCAGTATGCTGGAATATTTCAACTTGATAGTGCCTTATCAGTATGTGCTGGTAAAAGAATCCCCAAACAGACCCTTCAAGGTGACTCTCCATAAAGCACACATTTGCACTTTCATCTTCCTTTCTGACTAGCACAGTCAGTTATACGTTCAGGATCTGCCTACCCTCAGGGACTCCTGCCACGTGGTATACCCCTTTTAACATGTTGCTTGGCTGAACATTGTGTTCTACTAAATGGGAGGGAGGTGGGGCACTGGCCTATGATGGAGAAACAATAGTACTTAGGACAAGCACGCTAACCTGCTGCTTGTTCCACCCAATAGGCATCCTACAAAACGGCTTACTCCAGGTAATTGTCAACTCTGCCAGGGGAATTAAATATTTAGGAGCATATTTTGTTCTGTATGGACTTGGGTCATGTTGGAGGGTATACATAATATAAAATGGGAGCAGGATAGTGAGTAAGAGGTCTGTACTGCTCATTTATATCCTATAAAGAGATCTATATTGTGCTGTCACCAAGCAATATTTTTTTTTTTCATGTGTAAAATGTTTGTAATGCATTGAGGTTTGTCTTTTGCTTTTAATTGTGTTCTGTAGGTTTTCTTAAAAAAGCCTCTATCAAATTGAAGACACAAGTGTGCTTTTTGCCAGCAGCATTCAATCGTTTTCCCAGTGCACTATGGGAGAAGGGGAACAGTTGCTTGCATGAGGCCAGAAGGTTCTCCTTTTCACATGCTAGGATAAATAGGCTAATTGTGTTATATGTAAAGAGATTTTATGTGTTGGAACTCAAGTGCTAGTTGGGCACATCTCTATCCTATTTGGACAGCTTGAGGCTTGTCAGAGTGGCACCTTCTTGTACAATCTCCACCCCTGGTCATGTGATTTCTGGCAACATGGCATATGCTTTATAAACAAAGATACCTTCTCAATTGTACAGACCACCAAATAAGATTAAAAAAGAGCCTTCTGAAGCCTCTACATTCCCTATAGTATATAAGGAAGGGTGGTATGGCGTGCCCCATTCCACATTAACACTTATTACAAAAAAAAAGGACTTTTTAGGCACTTACACGACCATCATATAGTTATACTAAAATGTATGTATTTATTGATTCCATCCTAAAATATGTAACTTGATAAAATAATTTCTGCCCATAATTATTGCACTGCCCAGACATGCATATCACCTCCACAAACTTATTCAAAATAAGTAATCCAAAGTCTACTTGTATCAATATCTG